GCTCAAGAAAGAGTAGCTGAGTATTGGAAAAGAAAAAAAAAAAAACCAGTACCTAAGACGATCGCTCCGCCCCGGAGCGAGGTCCAGGGGCCTCAGAAACCTCGCTCTCCAGGAAATCCAACCAATCCACCACTGCATTCCCCACATCTACAGAATTCCAGTCAAAACTCTCAAAAAAAGAATCTCCAGCAACCACAGCAGATTCCTCTGCAATCACAGAACGAACCTCAGCAGCGACGCAAGCCCGCTCCTCCGCCTCCACTCTTTCCAACTCCTCCACATTGTCAATATCCCAACGAACAGCGCGCATCATCTTCTCATACCATATCCTTTTCTGCTTGCGCAGCCTAAGAAGTTTGGCATTCAGCTTAGCAGCCTCCTCTTCAATCGCCTCCACCTCCGCCTCCAGGCAACAGTATTGAGCAATCACATGATTCAATTGTGCAGGCATCAAGCTACAAACATCGCAATTCAACAAGCTCAGACGCACGCAGATCTAACAACGGGAAGATTCGGATTCAGCAACCTTGCACTCAGCTAAAAGATTGTAATCTTCGTAATATAAGCAAAGCATAAGCGAAAGAGAACTGAAAGTAGCTATAGCAGAAAGAAGGAATGATTTCTGCAAAGAATGAGAATAAAGCTTAGCAATACAACGAGAACTGACTCTATTCAACATCTCGATTAGAAAGGCAAGATTACGGATGGAAGATTTGCTAGAGTACTTACGAAAGATCATTGGGAATAACAACTGATAGAAGGAAGATGATGTTATAACCCATCCAATATGCAGATCACAGAATAGATCATAAGTAACAGGGATCAGATATCAAGGATTCAACATTCTAACAAAGCATTGATTATATAATCCAGAGTTAGGGTTATTAGCGGATAGATACAGTCGATATCTATCCCATTAATGAAGGAATCAATGGAGTCAATATCGATCCTATCTATCCGAACTGAAGAACCAAGTATATGAAGATTTACATTTCCTACTGTTAGATAGATTTCCTTTAGATAGTTCTTCAGTTATTAATCTAAGTATTCAGTTTCATATACTGAGTAGCCCCAAAGGCAGTAAACACTCGCATCGCTTATTAAGACTTGTACGGTTCCGTATTCAAGGACTTGATACTTTAATACCGCTCTTGTTAGCATAAACCTCTTCGTGTATTTAGGAATCTTCGGATTACTGCAGTGCTCATTACACCAGAAGAGAAGGAGGGAGATGGTTGAGAGGCCTGAGGCACTGAGAGATCTTGAGAGGCCTTGAGAGGCCTGAGGCACTGAGAGATCTTGAGAAGCCTTGAGAAACCTGAGGCACTGAGAGATCTTGAGAAGCCTTGAGAAGCCTGAGGCACTGAGAGACCTTGAGAGGCCTTGAGAGGCCTGAGGCACTGAGAGACCTTGAGAGGCTTTGAGAGGCCTGAAGCACTGAGAGATCTTGAGAAGCCTTGAGAAACCTGAGGCACTGAGAGATCTTGAGAAGCCTTGAGAGGCCTGAGGCACTGAGAGACCTTGAGAAGCCTTGAGAGGCCTGAGGCACTGAGAGACCTTGGGAGGCCTTGAGAAACCTGAGGCACTGAGAGATCTTGAGAAGCCTTGAGAGGCCTGAGGCACTGAGAGACCTTGAGAAGCCTTGAGAGGCCTGAGGCACTGAGAGACCTTGAGAGGCCTTGAGAAGCCTAGAAGCCTGAGGCACTGAGAGATCTTGAGAGGCCTTGAGAAGCCTGAGGCACTGAGAGATCTTGAGAGGCTTTGAGAAATCTGAGGCACTGAGGGATCTTGAAAAGCTTTGAGAAGCCTGAAGCACTGAGAGATCTTAAGAGCCTGAAGCATTAAGAAGGCGTAGGAGCAGCTAGGAAGCAGCGAAAGCCTGGAAGCAACAGAAGCCTGGGAGCAACGGAAGCTTGAAAGCAACGAAAGCTCGGAAGCCTCAAAGGCCTTAAGGACAAGGCCTGATAAGGAGGAACAATCTGTCAGGGCTGATTGTGCCAGCAAGGCTCAGAGCTAGCTAAGCCAGCTGAATTACGGATGACTAAGCAATATGCAGCTATAAAGCGGCTTTCTAGCCACATCAGCACTGCTGAGCAGAACTTAGCTCCTTAAGCCTCAATGTTATTCTGATTGTATACCCCTGAAAGAAAGAAAAGACCTCGCCACATTGCCTTTGCAACCTTTCCACCTGACAAACTCCAACTCTTCTATCTCATCCTCCAGCTTTCGATGCTGAGTAGAGATAAGAAGAAGTTCAGCAGTATTCATCAGCTCTAGAACATCATACTTAGTACAATTCTAGGAAATGCATTTCAAGCAACAAGATGAATCATGAGAAGAAATGATATATGATTACAGGCTTCGATTATTGCAATAAGAATAGAGATATATATTGAAACTATTTAAAAGAATGAACTGAAGAAGAAGATCTTTCTGCTTCTTTTTGTCGGAATGAGAATTCGAGGATTTCAGTTTTGCAACTTTGTTGATTCTGTTCAGCATCTTGATTAGGAAAGCAAGATCATGAATATGGAAATTTGCTAGAATACTTACAGAAGATTATTGGGAATAATGATTGATAGGAGGAAGATGATGTTATAATTCATTCAATATGCAGATTATGAAAATAAGTTATAAGTAATAAGAACTAGATATCAAGAATCCAATATTCTGATAAAGCATTGATTATATAATTTAGGATTAGGGTTGTAAAGGAGGAAGGATTGTTAAGCTTGCTAGCGATCCCAACGAGCTTCATATCTTGAATCGCTAGACTTGCTAGCGATCCCAACGAGCTGTACTGAAGAGCTGAATATATATAAGAACACGTTTATTATCATTAGATGGATTCAGTATATAGCTCTTCAGTTGTTAATCTAAGTATCAGATTATTCTTTCTTACTTTAATAGCTTCAAAGGCAATGAACACTTGCATTGCTTATTAGGACTTGTACAGTTCCGTATTCAAGAACTTGATATTCTGATACTGCTCTTGTTAGCATAAACTTCTCGTATACTTAGGAATCTTCGGATTGCTGCAGTGCTCATTACATTATTGCTCCGGAGCAAACCAACTTGCTGAGGATCTCGCTTCCATTATCTTGCTAACCTGTTAGCACTCTAGCACTATTTGGATTCGCTTATTACTAGATCCTTCTCCTTAAACTGCTAGCTCTGCTGATTTAAAAGTATGTATGAAGTTATCTGAAGCTTCTTTTCCTGAGTATTCTTCAATAACTAGCTTCAATCCTGCATTATTAATTGCAACTATTTCTCTGGATACAGCTTGTTTCTATAAGATCTAGCTAGTAGTTCAATCGATTCGAGGATTATGCTCTTTAAGCTATAAAAGTCTTATAATTAGCTTATATTATACTGTATTTATAATATTAAAGGAAGCTCTGATTATATATTCTTAAATCAAGATAAATAGATAATTAATCTTCTTATTGATTATTTCTTGATTATATGCAATAGATTATTCTTTTATAATGCTAAGAGTATATAAGCATCTTTTTCATCTTTATTGTAATTATATCTAATTAACAATGTATGGAAATATAAAGTTTCCTTGAGCGCTACTATTCAATAGTGCATTATATTTGTATTCTTAAATGTATATATTGAACTTAATATAAGCATAATCTATTCTAAAAGCTTTACATAGAAATCGTTCTAATCTGATTATTTGCAGTCTCTTTACAAGCAATCCTATCCTTTTGAATTTGTTGAGAACTATTTATCCTTCTGAGCCTGCTTTGCTGCTTCTTAAGCAAGCTTCTTAGCTTGCTTTTGCTTATATTATTATTATTCCTAATCTTTCTTCTATTAATGCTAGTTACAAATCTTGTTATTAATATAAATCGTATAGAATATTATTTTATACTGCTATTACTCTATCTTTTTATCTATACATTGCATAGAGCAATTATTCAATAGCTTGATATATGCATTATAATATTGCTTATTAAGAATCTCTCTAAAGCAGAATTCCTATTCTTTAATAGCTTGAAGGATTTGTTCTAATTCTCTAACAGGGAATTATTCGTATTGCATCTTGTTCGAGAAATGCATTCTGCAGCTATAATAAGTATAGGAGATTCAAGCTAGTTCGTAGTATAGATTGTAAAGTGAGCTAATCCGAGAATCCTTATTTTCTTATGCTTCAATATTCTGCAAAAGAATGCAGATAAAAAGCTTTTTCAGCTTTATTCCATAAATAAGATATTTAACTCATATTGTTTCTTTATTTCATCCAATGCTAAAAAGAAATCTTTCTTTAAGCTTATTAAGCATATTATTTATAGAAAGCTTCTACAAGCTGCTAAATTATTTACTCTAGCTTGATTCTTCTATTGCTTAAGAAGCATTCTCTATACTGCTTAAATATTTGTATTAATATGTAATGAGCACTGCAGCAATCCGAAGATTCTGAAGTATACAAAGGGAGTTTATGCTAACAAGAGCGGTATCAAAGTGCTAAGTTCTTGAATACGGAACTGTACAAGTCTCAGTAAGCGATGCAAGTATTTACTGCCTTTGGAGCTATTAGAGTAGAGAGTAATCTAATACTTAGATTAACAACTGAAGAGCTATATACTGAATCCATCTAATGGTAATGAACGTATTCTTATATATTCAGCTCTTTAGTATGAATATGTTGAATAGCAATATATCTAAGTTATCCTGCTAGCTCTGAATAGCATATATCCGAAGCTATCCTTCCTGATTAATCATGCTCATAACCCTAACCCTGGGTTATATAATCAATGCTTTGTTAGGATATTGAATTCTTAATATCTGGTCCTTATTACTCGTAACTTGTTCTGTAATCTGCATATTGGATGGATTATAATATCATTCCCCTTCTATTAGTCGTTATTCTCAACGATCTTTTGTAAGTATTCTAGCAAATCCTTTGTATACATGATCTTGCCTTTCTAATTGAAATGTTGAACAGAATCAACAAATCTTGTTCTCATATTAAGAAGACTAGATAAAAGGATTCTCTTCTTTCCTTGGTTTTTCAAAATACTATTATTATGCCTTCTTATTCCTTCTGCAAGGATCATAGTATTCAGTCTTGTCAAGTCTCCGTCGAGGATTCTTCTCAATGCGCTAAATGTATCCGTCTGAGTTGTTCTCAGTACAATATTCAAGAATTGAGTATAGCGGAAATTCATTAGATAAGCATTTAATACTAATGCTTAAAGAACCAACTCGAGAGTGCTAAGAAGCAGCTGCATGATGCTGCTGCAGAGATAGAATATCTGCGGAAGCAGAAGCGTCTGTAGTTTGAGAGGATGATGAAAGCTATTCGTTAAAGCCTTTTCAGTATAAAGGAGTTGAAATATAAGGAAGCTAAGGAGAAGCAAGCTTGTATTGCTGCTAGAGTTCGTTCTATAATTGCAGAGAAATCTGCTGTAGTTGCTGGAGATTCTTCTTTTGAGAGTTTTGATTGGAATTCTGTAGATATGAGGAATGTAATAATGGATTGATTGGGTTTCCTGAAGAGCGAGATTTCTGAAGCTCTTGAATCTTAGTTCGGAGCGAAGCAATTATCTTAGATACTAGCTTTCTTTTTCCAATATTCAGCTACCTTTTCTTGAGTATTTTCAATGTTCTTCCATAGTTTCCATGAATTTTCGCTTGCTGAGTAATCTTTCCATTTAATAAGATATTCTCTTGTATTATCTATACTTCTATGCTTGAGAATCTTCTCTATCTTATATTCTGATTTATTATTTTCTACTTCTGTTATATTGTTTGTTAGTATTTCCTATACTGCTAGTTCTAGTAGTAAGATATGAAAAACCGGATATATTCTTATCTCATGAGATAATGCTAATTCGTAATTAACTGGGAAAATCTGTTGCAAGATTTTGAATAGCTCTAGCTTCTTGTAATCGAATTTGTTGCTAGATCTAATTGTTTTAATATTTTTTCGAAGTAGATAGATCTTATTTCCTTCTTGTAGAATTAGTTCCTTAATTCTTTTGGAATTTGTATATTGCATTATTCATTCTTAAACGAATTATAATTCTGATTAGAGTTTCTTCTGAACTTTCTTGATCTTCTTAATCCTTTTATCTGCAGCTTCTATATCTACTTTCAGCAATGCTTCATAGTAAGCTATTGAGTTATATTTATAGAGTATGAAGAATAATAATTTCTTTATTATGCTTATATCTGCGCTATTATAAGCGAACTGTATAAAGAGCAATAGATTAATTCAGTTATTCTGTTTCTGATTAATATAGTATTGAAGATATTATTTAATAATCTGATTTATTCTTTCTATCTGTTTATCTATCTGCAGATAAAATGCTATAAATATTCTATAGTATATTTCAAGTTATTTTATAAGCAAAGTTTAAAACTTTGAGTTGAACTTTCTATTTCTATTAGAAATCATTTCTTCTAATATATTATAGTTAGCAATAATTGTTCTGAGAAATGTATATACAAGTTTCTCTGCTATACTACTTTTCTTATAAGAGAGAAAGTAAGTATACTTGCTTAGTTTGCAAACTACTACTAGAATGCTATCATATTGCATCTTAATTAAGAGTTCTTATAAAAAAAATAGCTTAATAATGAAGTTTAAACTAATAGATTGCTAAATAGTTATAAATACTAGTAAGAAATGCAGTAGTTTGTAAAGCTTATATCTTTCTGCTTTATTTCTCTTGCAGCTATTGCATTATTATAGAATGCTTTCAATTCTTTTTCTAAAATCTAATAGATTTCAGTATCTTTTAATGTATTTGTAAATTGCTTTAACTCTCTAATGCTTATATACTGATATACTATATACATTCTTGATATAGTTGTTTTATTCATTTGGAATTATTGATTCTGAATCTCTTTCCAAGAATTTTATTCTGAAAGCAATATTCAGTTCTCTATATATATTAATAAGATTTCCCAATTTATTTTAAGCAAAGATGTTCTATATATCCGAAGAATCTGTATCTTAATAATCTAATTTTCTGCTGAGAGCATTTGCTTGTTTGTTCTCCAAGCTTTTGCAGTATATAATCTTGAAATCGAACTATGAAAGGAATTCTGCTTATCTAACTTATTGCTTGTTCAAAATCTTAATTATTATGAATATAGTCAGATTCTTATAATTCAAGTGAATTATAATCGAGTATTATGCGCTAATAAGATAGTATTGCTACTTCTCGAAAGTTTTTATTATTGTTATAAGTTTCTGATTAGGGATTCTGTAATTGATTTCCAAGCTATTCAACTTCTTTGAGAAGTTGCTTATAATCCTTAGATATTCTTAGTTATCTTGCTAGCTAAGTTATTCTCTAAGTGCATATTCTGATGTATTAATCTTAACTTCAAAGAATTTATAGAGATTTGCTTTATACAGAATTGGTTCTGAAGTAATATACTCAATGATTTTATTGAAAGCTTCTTATATCTTAGGGATTCATTCGAAAAGCTATTCTTTCTTAATAAGATTTGTAAGAGGATGTACGATTCAGCTGTAGTTCTTAATGAATGTCAGGGCCGATTGTGCCAGCAAGGCTCAGGGCTAGCTAAGCCAGCTGGATTACGGATGACTAAGCAATATGCGGCTATAAAGCGGCTTTCTAGCCACGTCAGCACTGCTGAGCAGAACTTAGCTCCTTAGGCCTCAATGTTATTCTGGTTGTATACCCCTGAAAGAGAGAAAAGACCTCGCCACATTGCCTTTGCAACCTTTCCACCTGACAGTTTGAGGCCTGGCCCTTTTAAAGGAGGCAATCCGGCGAGGCTTTCTATCTTTTTTTTCTTCCCTAGGAGCAGCGCTAACACTGAGCAGGAGCAGAGCAAACGATCAGACCACTATTCTTTTCGAACCTTCGAGCCTTTGACCTTCGAGCCTTTGACCTTCGAGCTTTTAACCTTCGAGCCTTTGACCTTCGAGCCTTCGATTTTCGAGCTTTCGAGCCTTGAATACAGCGAGCAAGCAGTGTCGAGCAAGCAGTATGCAAGCAGCGTGCGAGAAGCGTTCAGAAGAGATTCAGAGCATTCGAGTCGCTAAGCTAGAGCAAACAGCGAGCAAGCAGTATGCAAGCAGCGTGCGAGAAGCGTTCAGAAGAGATTCAGAGCATTCAAGTTGCTAAGCTAGAGCAAACAGCGAGCAAGCAGTATGCAAGCAGCGTGCGAGAAGCGTTCAGAAGAGATTCAGAGCATTCGAGTCGCTAAGCTAGAGCAAACAGCGAGCAAGCAGTATGCAAGCAGCGTGCGAGAAGCGTTCAGAAGAGATTCAGAGCATTCGAGTCGCTAAGCTAGAGCAAACAGCGAGCAAGCAGTATGCAAGCAGCGTGCAAGAAGCGTTCAGAAGAGATTTAGAGCATTCGAGTTGCTAAGCTAGAGCAAACAGCGAGCAAGCAGTATGCAAGCAGCATGCAAGAAGCGTTCAGAAGAGATTCAGAGCATTCGAGTCGCTAAGCTAGAGCAAACAGCGAGCAAGCAGTATGCAAGCAGCGTGCAAGAAGCGTTCAGAAGAGATTCAGAGTATTCGAGTTGCTAAGCTAGAGCAAACAGCGAGCAAGCAGTATGCAAGCAGCGTGCAAGAAGCGTTCAGAAGAGATTCAGAGCATTCGAGTCGCTAAGCTAGAGCAAACAGCGAGCAAGCAGTATGCAAGCAGCGTGCAAGAAGCGTTCAGAAGAGATTCAGAGCATTCGAGTTGCTAAGCTAGAGCAAACAGCGAGCAAGCAGTATGCAAGCAGCATGCGAGAAGCGTTCAGAAGAGATTCAGAGCATTCGAGTCGCTAAGCTAAAGCAAACAGCGAGCAAGCAGTATGCAAGCAGCATGCGAGAAGCATTCAGAAGAGATTCAGAGCATTCGAGTCGCTAAGCTAGAGCAAATAGCGAGCAAGCAGTGTGCAAGCAGCGTACGAGAAGCGTTCAGAAGAGATTCAGAGCATTCGAGTTGCTAAGCTAGAACAAAGTGTGTTCTTCGCTATTCGAGCGAGAGAGCAGAGTGAGCAAGCAGTAGATCTGAGTATCTTCTGTTTTCGAGAGTGTATTCTTCGCTATTCGAGCGAGAGAGCAGAGTAAGCAAGCAGTAGATCTGAGTATCTTCTGTTTTCGAGAGTATGTTCTTCGCTATTCGAGCGAGAAAGCAGAGTGAGCAAGCAGTAGATCTGAGTATCTTCTGTTTTCGAGAGTGTGTTCTTCGCTATTCGAGCGAGAGAGCAGAGTGAGCAAGCAGTAGATCTGAGTATCTTCTGTTTTCGAGAGTGTGCTCTTCGCTATTTGAGCGAGAGCGCAGAGCTGAAGCGGAGTGTCCGCTTGGCAACTGAAGTTGCTTAGGTATTAGATTGCAAACCAATTACCCTTCTGCACCTAGCGGTGGAGCGAAGCATGGCAACAGCTTCAGAGTTGCTAGAGAGCAACTCTCAAGATGGAAAGCTATAATTATCCGTTATAGCTGCAGGGACGCTGTTCTGGATGCTGGGCTCCTTGGCTGCAAACCAAGTCCCTGGTGGAAGGCTTGCAACCTACATCAAACAGCTTTAAGTTCTGAAGAGTGCCTGGATAAAGCGCTGAGGGAGCAGCGACTGAGCAGCGTATATGGCGCGGGTATTGCACTCGGAAGACTTACGTCTGGAATGTGATTAAAAAGAGATTTTTTTTTCACAGGCTTCGGGGACGAAGCCAGAAGAGAAGGAGGGAGATGGTTGAGAGGCCTGAGGCACTGAGAGATCTTGAGAGGCCTTGAGAGGCCTGAGGCACTGAGAGATCTTGAGAAGCCTTGAGAAACCTGAGGCACTGAGAGATCTTGAGAGGCCTTGAGAGGCCTGAGGCACTGAGAGACCTTGAGAGGCCTTGAGAAGCCTGAGGCACTGAGAGACCTTGAGAGGCCTTGAGAGGCCTGAAGCACTGAGAGATCTTGAGAAGCCTTGAGAAACCTGAGGCACTGAGAGATCTTGAGAAGCCTTGAGAGGCCTGAGGCACTGAGAGACCTTGAGAAGCCTTGAGAGGCCTGAGGCACTGAGAGACCTTGAGAGGCCTTGAGAAACCTGAGGCACTGAGAGATCTTGAGAAGCCTTGAGAGGCCTGAGGCACTGAGAGACCTTGAGAGGCCTTGAGAGGCCTGAGGCACTGAGAGACCTTGAGAGGCCTTGAGAGGCCTAGAAGCCTGAGGCACTGAGAGATCTTGAGAGGCCTTGAGAAGCCTGAGGCACTGAGAGATCTTGAGAGGCTTTGAGAAACCTGAGGCACTGAGGGATCTTGAGAAGCTTTGAGAAGCCTGAAGCACTGAGAGATCTTAAGAGCCTGAAGCATTGAGAAGGCGTAGGAGCAGCTAGGAAGCAGCGAAAGCCTGGAAGCAACAGAAGCCTGGGAGCAACGGAAGCCTGGAAGCAACGAAAGCTCGGAAGCCTCAAAGGCCTTGAGGACAAGGCCTGATAAGGGGGGACAATCTGTCAGGGCCGATTGTGCCAGCAAGGCTCAGGGCTAGCTAAGCCAGCTGGATTACGGATGACTAAGCAATATGCGGCTATAAAGCGGCTTTCTAGCCACGTCAGCACTGCTGAGCAGAACTTAGCTCCTTAGGCCTCAATGTTATTCTGGTTGTATACCCCTGAAAGAGAGAAAAGACCTCGCCACATTGCCTTTGCAACCTTTCCACCTGACAATGAACTACTTATAGAAGTTAATATATCCAAGAAAAAATCTAATATTCCTAATATTTCTGAGAACTAGCTAGTTTCTGATAGCTTTCACTTTATTCTTCTGTAGTTTGATATATCCCAGCTTGATTGTGAATCCGAGATAGTTGACTTTTTGTACGTGAAAGTAGCTCTTTGCAGATTTTACAAAAAGCTTTGCATTCTGAAGTATTTGCAATACTATTTCCACATATTTCTTATATTCTTTCAATATTCGAGAGTAAATAAGAATATTATTGAAATAAGCAATAATGAACTGATTCAGATACTTGCATAGAATGTAATTAATTATTTTCTGAAATAAAGCTGGAGTATTCATTAAACTAAAGAGCATAATCAAGTATTCGTAGTATTCATAGCGTATTCTGAAAGCAGTTTTCCATTCTTCTCCTTTCTTTACTCTAATCAGATTATAAGCTTCTTTCAGATCCAGAGCTATAAATTACTATACTCCTTGCAACTTATTTTATAGTTTCTTGATGAGTAGCAATGGATATTAGTTCTTAATTGTAATATCATTAAATTGCTTATAATTAATATATAGCTTAAGCTTGCTATTTTTCTTAAGTATAAATAGGATGGAGTATTCTGCTAGTAATTGCAATGATTATATATATTCTTTCTTAAGATTCTCATCGAGATACTCTTTAAATGCTTCTAGCTGCATCTTGTTTAATTCATAAATAAGAAAGAATTTGAGCTGTTTCTCTTCTTATAGCAGGATCTTGTGATTGTATGAGCTGTATTCTAGCAATCCTGTATTCAATTCTTTCTGGAATAGTTTCTTAAACTTATAATATTCTTATAATATATTTGCAAGTATTGGTTCTAGTTCTTGTGCTGTTTCTGCTATCTGGAAGAATAGTAAATACTGTTGAGCGTGCTTCTTTTCTGATAGCGTTTTCGAGAGCTTTAAGCGTTCGCTTTGAGCTAAATCAAGCGCTTGAGAGCCTGATTTCGAGATTTTTCCTGTATAAGTTTATAATTCACATTCTGAAGCTTTTTCTTATTGCTTCGAAGCAAACTGATCTGCTAAGAGTCTTGCTTCTGTTATTTTGCTAATCTGTTAGCACTCTAGTACTGTTTGAATTCGCTTATTACTAGATTCTTTTTCTTAAACTGCTAGCTCTGCTAGTTTGGAAGTATATAGGAAGTTGTATGAAGCTTCTTTTCCTGAGTATTCTTTAATTACTAACTTCAATTCTGCGCTGTTAATTGTAATTATTTCTCTGGATATAGCTTGTTCTTATAAGATCTAGCTAGTAGTTCAATCAATTCGAGAATTGTATTCTTTGAGCTATAGAAGTTTTATAATCAGCTTATGCTATGCTATATTCATAATATCAAAGGAAGCTCTAGTTATACATTCTTGAATCAAAATAGATAGATAATTAATTTTCTTATTAATTACTTCTTAGTTATATGCAACAGGTTATTCTTCTATGATACTAAGAGTGTATAAGTATTTCTTTCATTTTTATTGTAGTTATGCTTAATTGATAATATATGGAAATATAAAGTTTCTCTAAGCGCTACTGTTTAATAGTATGCTGCACTTATATTCTTAAATGTATATATTGAACTTGATATAAGCATAATCTGTCTTAAAAGCTTTATATAGAAATCATTCTAATCTGATTATCTGCAGTTTTTTTATAAGCGATTCTGTTCTTTTGAGTTTGTTGAGAACTGCTTATCTTTCTAAGCTCGCTTTGCTGCTTTTTAAGCAAGCTTCTTAGCTTGCTTTTGCTTATATTATTATTATTTCTGATCTTTCTTCTGTTAATGCTAGTTGCAAATCTTATTATTGATATAAATTATATAGAGTATTGTTTTGTATTGCTATTATTTTATTTTCTTGTTTATGCATTGCATAGAGCAGTTGTTTGATAGTTCGATATATATATTATAGTACTATCTGTTGAGAATTTCTCTGAAGCAGAGTTTTGGTTTTTCAATAGCTTGAAGGATTTATTCTGATTCTCTGATGAGGAACTATTCGTATTGCATCTTGTCTAAGAAATGCATTCTGCAGCTATAATAGATGCAGGAGATTCAAGCTAGTTCGTAATGTAAGCTGTAAAGTAAACTAATCCGAGGATCTTTATCTTATTATGCTTCGATGTTTTGCAAGAGGATGCAGATGAAAAGCTTCTCTAATCCTATTCTATAAATAAGATATTCAATCTATATTATTTCCTTATTTTATCTAATGCTAAAGAGAAATCTTTTTATAAGCTTCTTGGATTTATTATTTATAGAAGACTTCAGTGAATTATTAGATTATTTATTCTAGCTTAATCTTTCCATTGCTTGAGAAGTATTTTCAATATCATTTAAGTATTTATACTAATAATCAAGAGAGTACTATCCTTTATTCATTTCTCTGATTATAATACTTAGTGCAAATAATAGAGAATAGCGAAGAGCATTATTATTAAGCCCTTCCTCCAGCATCTGAATGCTTCGTTTAGTAATATTGGAGCAGTTCGAATTGTTGCTGCTTGTAATCATGCTAAGCATATACTCTCGCTCTGCTATCGCTATTTGCCTGTAGCGCTTAGATTTCTGAGAGAACTATTCTAAATCTTTCTTACTCAAAAGATATATTAAGCA